TTCATTTAAAGCCCTACCATATTCCCAGACTTCTAGGTTCAAAATCTAAGACTCATCTTTGATGCTCCCTCTAACCACTCACTATCTAATCTCTTATAACTTTCATGTATCAACACTCCTAAAAATCAAAAGCTAAAAATATGCTGTTAATTCTAAATGAGAATTTGAACACAGATCTTAAATAACTATCTTTGTATTATTAAAATATTTACTGAAATAGCACAATTTTAAACTTTGTAATTAAAATAATTAAGCATACAACTGCATGCACCTATTCCCTGAAAAAATTTCCTGAAATAATTGTATGACTGTAAATCTCAAACATGCATAGTTTAAGAACAAAAAGTTACTAAAACAAGCAAAACAAATACATACTTGGTTTCATCCATCACTTCTACTTCGGTAGGGGCTGTGATGGGCGCATTTGAACGTCCTGCAGTAGGGTCATCTGTGTTTAACTCTCCATTTGTAGAACTTACGACCTGTAAAAAGAAAAAAAAAAAATTTATATATATATACACACATACACACACAAACATACATACACATTAAATAATAGGTTATACAATGGTGAACATAATTAAGGTTAAAGTATTTAAATTAGAAAGTTAATATGAGGAATACAAAACAATTAGTAGGTAGCTGTAGGTAGCTATTCATAATTGAATATAATAATAGTTTTAGCATTTTATTAAAGATCAGGGTAATCTAATATGTGCTTTTTAACATTTCCTTTCCATCTTGAAATTTCTGTCTTGTGTCTCTTTGCCTCTGGTTTTTAAGGCTAATACCTACACTTATGTCTCAATCAGTTTCTTCTTGTGTACCCACGTCCTTTGGCACCTTGCTACATCATAAATTACTTTCCTTTGAAACTTCAATATTGCTCCTTCCAATGGACCCTTCACTTCAATCGCTAATCACGCTCAGGTCTCCATCTCAAATTGCCCATTTAAATAGAGGGCAACACCATTCATTCACCCAGTTGTTCAGACGCAGGAGTCATTGTGATTCCTCTTCAACTTAAACCCCACATCTAACCCATCTGTAGGTCCTGTTAAATCCTACCCCAAACATATCCCTATCTAATCAGTTCTCACCATCTCTATTACTACTAGGACTCCAGTCCAAGCCACCATGATCTCTTATGGACAAAAGCCTATTAACTGGTCTTCTGCTTTTACTTGTCCTCACCTCCCACAAAATGTACTGTCCACATAGCAGTTTAGGGTGTTCCTTTTAAGATATAAATCAGATCATGTATAACTCCCTGCTTAAAACTCTCCAACTGTTGGCTTCCCACTTCACTTAGAATAAAAAAATCTATATTCCTTACACCAACTGACAAAGTCCCACATGATGTGATGATGCCTCCTGCCTACCTTTGATTTCTTTTTCTTTTCTTTTTTTTTTTAGACAGAATTTCACTCTGTCACCCAAGCTGGAGTGCAGTAGCACGTTCATAGCTCACTGCCTCCTCTAACTCTTGGGCTCAAGCAATCCTCCTGCCTCAGTCTCCCGAGTAGCTGGGACTACAGGCACGTGCCACTATGTCCAGCTAATTTTTTTATTTTTTGTAGAGATGAGGTCCCACTATGTTGCCCACACTGGTCTCAAACTCCTGGCCTCAAGTGAAACTTCTGCCTCAGCCTCCCAAAGTGATAGGATTACAGGTGTGAGCCACCACACCCAGCCCCTACTTCTGATTTCATACCACTTTCCCTGTAGCTCACTAGCCTCCATCCAATATGTCAAGCTTTCTTCCACTTTAAAGACTTGGCATTCTCTACTGTCACTGTCTAGAATTCTCTTCCTCCCTATTGGCTGTCTTCTTATCTTTTACATTCACAAAGAGCATCTCTAAAACAGACCTTTTCTATCACACAATATAAATTTCCATGTAGACACAGTCTTTCATGTTATAACCTATTTTTAATTCTTTGCATAGTATTTATCCGAGTTGCTATTTTTCTTATTTATTTTCTTATTTATTTGTTTCTTGACACCCACCTCTGCACCCCTGCCTCCATTAAAACTAAGTTCCATGACAATAGGAACCTTGTCTTTTCCCCACTACACTTGGCATGGAGCAGGCACACAATAAATACTTGTTGAAATTAATGAATGCATGCATGCATGAATCACATCCTAAAACATGATAAAAATTATAAGGAAATTCCCAAATTCTCTTGTCCCTGCAAATTCACCTTATGGTCCTATTTCTTCCTTTCCCCTTATTTTTAAACTTCTTGGGGAAAAAACATAACTCACCACTTCCATTTTTACAAAATTTTCCATTCATTTATTCCTTAACTCCCTGCAATCTGATCTCTATCCCTACATCAGAACTCTAATAATTTTCTTTAAGGTCACCAGTGATTCCTAGAAAATGTATTTAGTGCACTCTGCTCAGTTCCTCATTTTCCTATGCAGCTTTATCACTTGGCGCCAGCTGATGACTCTGGAGTAAGATGGGTCTAGACTCAAAACATAGCTCTACCACTTATCATCTACGTGACGCTGGAAAAGATACTTTATCTTGCTAAACCTCAGTATTCTAAACTATGAAATGGGAAAGAGTAGTATCTATTTAACAAGGTTGATATGAGGATGAAATGAAATTAATACATAAATATCAATATATAGAGCACAGTGCCTGGCATATAGCAAGAGCTCAATAAACGGTGGTCGTCATTACTGCAATATTAATAGTTTCATCTACAATCATGGCTTCAACTATCGCCTCTATGTAAAGGTGGTTACATATGTAACCACTCACCCATATCTTCAGTTTCCTGGCCCAAGTCTGACATCTCTGTATTTCTGAAATTAAATTTATCCTACTCCCTCTTAAATCTAGTATCTTCTATGGTTCCTATTTCATTTAAAGCCCTACCATATTCCCAGACTTCTAGGTTCAAAATCTAAGACTCATCTTTGATGCTCCCTCTAACCACTCACTATCTAATCTCTTTATTAAAAAAAAAAAAAAGTTCATATATCAAAGGCATGGACACCAGAGTTGACAGCTGCCTGTTAGACTTAAAAGCACTATTTATAGAATCTTACATTTCTAAAATGTAATTAATTCAAAAGTTTTTACTGAGAGTCTACAACATGCCAGGCACGGTTCTAGGTACTTGGAATACCACAGTAAACAAGACAGACTAACACTCCTGCTCCTATAGATGTAATAGTCTAGTGTGGAGAAATAGGCCCCTCTCCCCAACTCCAAGAAAAGTAAATAGAAATCAACCAACATATTTGAGTTAATTTGGGAATTAAGGAAACTCAGTTTCCTGTATCCTATGTAGAACAAGTACTTAAAAATGAATACTACATTTGTGCCTATAGCTGAAAACATATAAAACTGCCTTGATCATCTTCAGAGGCAACCCAAGGAAAAGAATACTCTTACATCTGAGTGTGCCTCTCTGTTTCTGGAGCACTTGCTTCCCCCTTTCTGTCATTCTATTGAGCTGTCAATTTTTTCTCTTTATTTCTTCCTCTTTCTGAAAACATTTAAAAAATAATTTGTTCTAATTATTGAACATAATTTGGTTATTTTTAATTTCAAAAATGTCAGAGCCTCTGCACTAAAATGGAAAGTAGCTAGAAAGGAGTATTCTTATCTTATATATTCTTCACTACATTTAACGACAGAGTGCCTTGTGCACAGCAGATAAACCAATAACTGAACAATTTTTACTGTTCTTCCCTCAACGTAATATTTAACAGGTTTCTTTTTCTCCCTTTTGTTTAATGGCCCTAGATAGCGGCAGGGACTCCACCTCAACTTACAGGCAAGCTCCTCTAACAAGTCTTCCCTTATTTTAAGAAGCATAATTGAAAATTTAAACCCTAGGTATTCTGAATTCCAGCAACAGTAACTACATCCTTTCCAGAAACACTAACCATGTATACATTATAATTATATAATCTGATTTATTTCAGTTCACAGATGAAGAACTTTCAAATCTAACTTTGGTAAACTGTATTTTATTGAAATGTTTCAAATCCCATTTTACCTGGTTGATCAGAACTAGATCAGAAATAAGTAACATCTCTCAGAAAGAAGTAATTTTTTCAGGGTTTCTCAGATTCCCTAACACTCTAAGTAGAGGCCAGTATCCCAAAGTCAGAATAGAATCTGTGTGGTAACAGAGTAAAGATAAGATACTGCTGTTGTCCCCTATAAAGTTGTCCTATTTAACACCAGTGACTTGAGAGTGTATCATTGTATTAAAACTTTTCACTTAAAATTAGTGGTCTTTTTCCAAAGGGATTTTACAAAGGAGAGATAAACACATAATATTGTAAATAATGTGTCATTACATTCTGGGAAGCCTAAATCAATCAATCAAACAAATATACATAAATTATTTTTATAAGCCAAATTCTAGAGAATGATTCTATTTAGGTGACATTTCTAGAATTATAACTTGAACTAGAAGATAAAAGCCTCTGAAATAGTAGTGTTCATCAGGCTGATTTCTTTAATAAAAGTGTATTAAAAATGACAGATCTTCTGAGGTTTGACATTTCAAAAAATAATTCAGATGTTTTACAGATTTGTTGTTGTTCTTAAAGAAATTTCTTCTGACATTCCCAATTTGACAAAAAAGTTAGCACGGTTCTTATTTTAAGAAGTTAAAAAAAAAGGCAACTGTACTCCAGTTTTACTGTCAGAATTTAAGAGGGCTTTTTGAGGAAATAGCCCATAGGTAAGTGTGAGAGACAAATAATGGTTTACTTCACAGGTCCCTGTGAAATCTAATTCCAAAAGACATCATTCTCACAGACTTTAGAGTACAGAGATAACACATAGTATCTTTATAGTCGATGATGTTTAAAAGCCAATTAATATACTTTCCAAATATAATGAATTCACACAAATTAGTTATACTACTATCTTCCTAATTTCTATTTGATTTCTTGTAAGCATGGTTTACCAAGTGCACAGTAGAGGTTTAATATATTACACAAATCTCCATCTATCCAATAAATGTATTATAAATATTAAAACATTATATATTTTATTATATATTCAGCTTTTTCTAAAAGGCATCTATAATAAAGCACACTAATAAATGAGATATAGTTAACAGAGTAATTTCCAAAGGGTTTACTAGACCTGTGCTGTGGTACACATGTACTATATGAAATCAACTTTTTACATATTCTAAAAACTACAGCTAGAGTTATAATTGATATTCTTCATATTCCAAAAGATGACCCCAAAGCATAGTGACATTCTTACTCACTTTCAATAAAGATAAACCAAAATGAATTTTCAATTTAACTTTCACTTACAGAGGCATTAATTAGAGCATTATTTTCTTTGAGCATTCCAGTCTTTGGAGATATTACCGATAATGTTATTGTAAAAGAATATCAAAATAAATTCATAATGCTGATTTACCCACCCAGTGATAACTAGACAAGGAATTTCCTAAACTAAAGGAGATGAACTGGAATCTAT